TTAAATATAGGATTACATCTGAGGAAGACTGTAAAGTTGAAATGAGTTCACGACTGGGTACTAGGCTTACCAAGTGGCGGCGGGGGATCCGCATGTCTTCACAGGATCCCTGCCGCGGGGACGGCGACACACGTTGCACCCGCCGTCGCCAGGATGTGACGCTATGCGTTGCTCTGGCAACGGGACTCCAAACAGCCCCGTTGCCAGAGCAACGCGTTGCGTCACATCTTGGCGATGGCGGTGCAATGCGTATCGCCGTCCCCGCGGCAGGGATCCTGTGAAGTCATGCGGATCCCCCGCCGCCACTTGGTAAGCCTACCGGGTACTCATTATGTTTGACTCTATGGACTTTTTTACAATATTGTATAAGTGAGAATGTTGGACAAATTGTTGCAATTTTGTAAAGTTTTAGAAAAGCAATGTAAATCTTATAAATGTTGTTCATATCACAGGGTTTACTTGTGTTTTTTTCCCCCCTGTGGATATCTGTGATCCATTTTGTTTTGTGCTGCAATCTCCAGGTGGGGCCTGGAGATCCCCCAGAATTACAACTGATCTCCAGACTACAGGGATTAAGTTCCCCTGGAGAAAATGGCTGCTTTGGAGGATGGACTCTATGCAGGGCTACCAGCTCTGGGTTGGGAAATACCTGGAGATTTGGGAGTGGAGCCTGAGGAGGGTGGGGCTTGGGAGGGGGAGGGACTTCCGTGCTCCTTCCAGGCCCAAAAGAAGTCAGGCTAGCGGTGACGAGGGCCAGGGCCTTCTCAGTGGCGGCCCCGTACTGGTGGAATGAGCTCCTGGATGACATCAGGGCCCTGTGGGACCTCTTACAGTTCCGCAGGGCCTGCAAGACGGAGCTCTTCCACCAGGCTTTCAGTTAGGAAGCCGTCCTTCCAACAACTAGGCCCTGGCCCCAACACCAACTCAAGAATATGATCAATAGCCTGACAAAAACCCAGACTACAGTGGTAGCTGATCATACGGATGCAGCGAACGCCACCATCGGCTATGAACTATACGAGCACTTCATGCTATGTTTTATCCTGTATTGTTGTGATTTTATTTAAGTGTGGTGTTTTAACTGTGTTAACATATTGTCCTTAAGCCACCCTGAGCCTGCCTTGGTGGGGTCGGCGGGGTACAAATTAGATGAATGAATGAATAAATAATAAAGCAACCATTTTCTCCAGGTGAACTGATTTCCTGAAGATCAGTTGTAATCCCTGGAGATCTCCAGCCATCCCCCGGAGGCTGGCAACTAGGGATGCCAACCTCTAGGTAGGAATTACAGCTCATCTCCAGACTACAGAGATCAGTTCCCCTGGATGAAATGGATGCTTTGGAACTTGGAAGGTGGACTCTCGGGCATTATAGGCTACTGAGGTCCCTGTCCTCCCCTGGCTCCACCCCCAAATCTCCAGGAGTTTCCCAGTGTAGATCTGGTAACTCTTCTCCACCATCCCCTGCTGTTGGCCAGGGGGGGACCTGGAAACCCTACTGGCGACCATATATATGTCATTATAACCCTCCCCAGGTTCCACCTCCAAATTTCCAGGAATTTCCCAAACCAGAGTTGGGAGCCCTAGGCCCATGGCTGATGCAAGTATTTCTTTTCTCCTCCTTCACAGGTCTCCTACAGAGCTCAGCAAGGGGACACCAGGCAAGCTGTGTTGAAGATGACGATGGTGTGGTTCCTGGCCTTCCTCCTCTATGGACCCGCCATTATCAGCTGGGAATACATATCCGGCGGAAGCATCATCCCCGACGGGGAATGCTACGCGGAGTTTTTCTACAACTGGTATTTCCTCATCACGGCCTCCACGATCGAGTTCTTCACCCCTTTCCTCAGTGTGATGTTCTTCAACATGAGCATCTACCTGAACATTCACAAGCGCACCAAAATCCGGTTGGACGTGCTCCACGAGAACCAGAACCAGAACTTCACGGAGGAGATGGAAATGAGCCCAGAAACGAAGGTCTCCCTGAAATGCTGTAAGTGGGAACAGACTAACCCAACGGAAACCTTGGATGTGCCCAAATGGGATCTGCAAAACGAAAACGGCCATGAGGAGGCGCAAGCGAAGCACTCCCAGACGTCCAGCACAGAGAGTTCTGGGCCTCCAGGCAACAAACTGAAACCTTTCTCCAAAAGGAGCTATAAACATTCTGCCTCTACCCTCTCCTTGGAGAAACGGATGAAGGCGGTCTCCCAGAACATGACGCAACGTGTCAGGCTGAGCCGGGACAAGAAAGTAGCCAAATCGCTAGCTGTTATCGTGGGCATTTTTGGCCTCTGTTGGGCACCGTACACGCTCCTCATGATCATCCGGGCGGCCTGCCACGGCCACTGCATCCCCGAATTCTGGTACGAGACTTCCTTCTGGCTCTTGTGGATCAACTCCGCCATCAACCCGGTCCTGTACCCACTGTGTCATTACAGCTTCAGGAGGGCTTTCGTGAAACTCCTGTGCCCGAAGAAATTAAAGATTCAGCCCCACAGCTCTTTTCAAAAATGCTGGAAGTGACTTGAAAAGATCCATTTGTGGGTTCGAAACGACCGGCTTCTAAGAGTCTGAAATGTGAGCGGGAGAGAAGCTTCAAGGGGGGCTGGGGGCCGATGGAGGGAGGCCGGTGCTGGATGCGAGCAGGATGATCAAAGGGTCCAGACAGGCATGCTGTTTTGAGCTGTGATCTCCACATTTGTACGCATGAAGAGTGTTCTGCCATTTGCAGCTAAACTGGTATTGATGCTTAGCGGGGGGGGGGAATGAAAGGAAGAGAACCTCCTATTGATGAAATAACTCGCCAAGATATTGCAGAGAGGTCAATCTTAGCCCTGCGACCCACGATTCATTAAGCAGAGGTAGAACCAGTGACATTCTACATGCCACATACCTAGGGGTGCCAATCTCCAGGTACCGGCTGGAGGTCTCCTGGGATTACAACTGACCTCCAGGCAACAGAGATCTGTTCACTTGGAGAAAATGACCACTTTGGAAGGTGGACTCTATACCCCAAAGAAGTCGATCCAGAGAGCAAGTTTGGTGTAGTGGTTAGGAATACAGACTCTAATCTGGGAGAACCGGGTTTGATTCCCCACTCCTCCACATGCAGCTGCTGGGTGACCTTGGGATCTGCATTTCTCTCAGAGCTGCCCTCTCAAGGGCACTTCTCGAAAGAGCTCTCACAGCCCCAACTACCTCACAGGGTGTCTGTTGTGGGGAGAGGAAAGGAAAGGCGACTGTAAGCCGCTCTGAGACTTCTTCAGGTCTCCTCCTCCTCCTCCTCCTCCTCCTCCTCCTTCTCCCTAAACCTCACCCTCCTCAACCTCCACCCTCCAAATCTCCATGTGTTTACCAACCTGGAGCTGGCAACCTTACACATACGCAGGGCTTTTTTTGTAGAAAAAGCCCAGCAGGAACTCATTAGCATAATAGGCCACACCCAACAACAGAAACTCATTAGCATATCCAGCCACACCCATGAGAGCATAGCTCATTAGCATATTAGGCTGCACCCCCATGTATAGTCATCCAACCACACCCACCTTTTCCTTCTTATTCTACCTTGTCTGTTGTCAAGACCCAGGGCTTTTTTTGTAGCAGGAACACCTTTGCATGTTAGGCCACATCCCCCTAATGTAGCCAATCCTAATGAGTTTCTGCTGTTGGGTGTGGCCTATTATGCTAATGAGTTCCTGCTGGGCGTGGTCAACTTGGGAGCCAGCCAGAACTCCGTTCCTGCCCAAAAATAGCCCTGCACATACGTGATCCAACACTGAGCCATGCCTCTTCCAAACCTTCCATGATGCCCACCCACAGGGCTGCCGCCAACCCCCCACCAGGGGAACAGAATTCCTTGCCCCCAGCCCACAGCCCTGCTGCCAATCAACTGGTTGGAGGGAGGGACTTACCAGCAGTGGGGGGGGGTCTAAGCTGGAGACACACTCAGAATTTTTGCCCCCAAAACCAGAGTGCCCGGTGTTACCAGCAATGTGCTGACATCCCGGAAGTGACAATACTGCAGAGTGTTCCCTCTAAGCTGAGTTAGTGTGAGCTAGCTCGGTTTTTTGCATCAGATGTAATGCCACAGGTTTCCACCTTGCAAAGGGGCCATTTCCCCCAGGTAAACGGTTCTCTGTCACCTGGAGATGACTCAGGAGTCACTTTTTTGTATGCTAGAGGGGCTGCGGAAAACAGGAGGAGGGGGCAAGATCTGTTCCAGGGTTCCACTCTGCTGGGGGCGCCTTGGATCCAATGCAGTGTAGAGTTGCCAGCCTCCAGGCGGGGCCTGGAGATCTTCCACCTTTACAACTGACCTCCAGCTGACAGAGATCAGCTCCCCTGGAGAAAATGGCTGCTTTGGAGGGTGGACTCTATGGCCTTGCACCATGCTGAGGCCCCTCCCCTCCCCAAACCCCACCCTCTCCTGGACCCACCCCCAAAGTATTTTCCAACCCAGATATTTTCCAACCCAGACCTGGCTACCCTAATGCAGTGCCTATTTGGAGCACATCACGGGCGTTCTCTGTACAGGCCTTACAACAACACTGCAAGGTAGGCCAGCCTCCTTATCCCCTTGTTTCCAATGGGAGGGAAGGGGGCCTGGAATACAGGCTCTTAAGACTGCTGAACAGCTTCGTGGCAGACTCGTTGGGAAATACCTGGAGATTTTGGAGGTGGAGCTGAGGAAAGCAAGGTTTGGGGAAGGGAGGGGCTTTAATTTTTGTTTGTTTTGTTTTATTAAATTTATGAATCACCCAACCCTGCAAGCAGGCTCTTACAACCTTAAATGCAGTTTAAATACAATCAACATAAAATGGTCACATGCACCAATACGTTAACCAGTCCAGATGGAGATATAAACCTCTTTTTCTGGCTACAGTGCTGTCTGCGCAGCAGGGCAGGGCAGGGGATGTGGGGGTGGGGGTCACAGGAAGAAAAAGAGGGTGCCGGTCTTAACCGTTGCTGCCGTCCTCTAAAAGCCTGGTGGCGCAGCTCTGCCTTACAGGCCCTGTGGAATTGCATCAGACATAATGCCACAGGTTTCCACCGTGCAAAGGGGCTATTTCCCCCTGGTAAACGGTTCTCTGTCACCTGGAGATCAGTCGTGATCCCTGAAGATCTCCAGCTGTCGCCTGGAGGTTAGGAACCCTATGGCAGGCAAGATTTGAACCAGGGGCCGGTGGCACTAAGATGCCTATTTGAAGAACGAGCTCGGAAAGCAATTTTCTCTGTGAAGTGTGTTGCGATCAAGAGATAGGCAGAACCGAGGTGGGTGGGGGGACTTATTACTTTCTTGATGCGAGTCTAGGATTCTCATCGCCTCGCCGGCTTATTATATATTTATGGGAAAAGAGCAAGAGTTTCAGACTCATCACCTTACCTATCTTGGAGGGGGGGGGCGCCAAAACACTTCTAGTTTGTCCACATTAATAAAAGTTCCTTCCTCCTCTAATTTCGGCCCCCATCGGCCAGTCTGCTCCGACCAGCCGCAGAGGCCGGCTTTGGATTCCATTACAGAGAGCTTTAAAAAACAGAAAGGCACTTTAAAAAGAGACGCCCTTTCCGTATTTGTTTTGCAAAGAATATAGAATGTATTTTTTTAAGGTGAGAAAATATTATCGACGTGTAAAAAAGAAGCAAGCATCAAACGAAGGCGATTGAGGCATATGAATCCAAAAAAGCGTCGCCAGAGGTGATGCAGGACGTAGGGCATGTTGGGGGCGTGGCCCAGATAGTCGGGGGAGGGAACCATATGGTGCCCCCCCCCGACGATCTGGGCCACGCCCCCAACGTGCCCCACATCCTGCGTCACTTCTGGTGATGTTCTGGCGGCGCGCACGCACGCACCCACGGCCAGCTCCCGGACCGAGCGAACGCTCCCCCGCCGGTAAGTAAATAACATTTGGCAACCCTACTGCTAACAAGGGTTGCCAACTCCAGGTTGGGAAATCCCTGGAGATTTGGAGGCGGAGCTTGGGAAGTCAGGGTTTGGGGAAGGAGAAGGACCTCAGCGGGGTGTAATGCCACAGAGTCCACCCACCAAAGTGGCTGGTTTTCCCCCTGGGGAACAACTCCACTTTCTGGAGATCAGTTATAATTCTGGGAGATCGCCAGACCCCACCTGGGGGTTGGCAACCCTAGTGCTATCCCTACTGGCCAGGCAGATTCTATGGCACCCGAGCAGGGCACCCTCTCCTATCCTGCCCCTCTAGATGCAGAGTTATACCCAGGATCGCTAGCCTCCAGGTGATGCCAACCCCCAGGTGTTGGCTGGAGACCTCCTGTGATTACAACTGATCTCCAGGTGACCGAGATCAGTTCACCTGGAGAAACTGGCTGCTTTGGAAGGTGGACTCTGGCCCCTTGAAGCCCCTCCCCTCCCCCAACCCCCCCCTCCCCAGACCCCCCCCCCAAAATCTCCAGGTATTTCCCAACCCAGAGCTGGCAACCCTATTTATACCCAGGGGTCATTTCCTGCAGGAGCGCACAGGAGCGGAGCTCCGGCAGTAAAGAGCCCAGGGGGCAGGCACATGCAACAAGCCCCACCCCCTGATCCCAGCAGCCCTCAGTCAGAGCAAGAAGCAGCCAGGTGTCAGCTAAGCTGTCATGAGTGTGGAGAGGCCTTCTAATTGCTTTGCATTCCTTCCCATGCGCTTAATTGCTTCTCAGCTGCAGTGCTTATATATAAACTGCAGAGCCCCCCTGGCCCAAAACAGTACAGTGGCACCTTTAAGACCAAGTTTTATTCAGGTACAAGCTCTCCCTCCTCTGAGGGCAGATCTGCACATTCCTCCCCCCACAATAGCTAGCAATCCAAAACAGTCCAGTGGACCCTGAGTGGTGGGTGTTGCCTTCTGACACACTCCCGGTGATGTCAGGGTGTGTGGCATATGCAAATAAGTTATGCTAATGAGTTATGCTAATGATCTCTTTCTCTACATAATGACCCCTGTTTATACCTAAACCTGTCTTCAAATTTTCAGGAGCTCTAGGCAAGACACATTTCCAGGCCCACCCCTAAACCTCATCTCAAAAGGGCTCAGGCTGGTGATTATCCTAGGGTTGCCAGGTCTGGGTTGAAAAATTCCTGGAGATATGGGGGGGGTGGAGCCTCAGGAGGGTGGGGGTTGGGGAGGGAAAGGATGAAAGGGTTCCAGATGCTGGTTGGATGGACCCGTATTAACCAGAGTTAGTGAAATGGCCCTTGTTCAGACAGTCACAGTAACCATAGGATTCTGTGTGATATCTCATCCAAGCCAAGGGTGGTGGACGGTACCGTCAAGTCTCAGCCGATTTATGGTGACCTCATATGTTTTTCAAGGCAGGAGACGAGGATAGGTGGTTTGCCATTGCCCATCTCTGTCATGAGAAGACTAGCCTTCAATCTCCATAACTTCCTTAAGCCATCGACTTCACTGGACACCATAACAAAAGCATCTGGTCATACTAGTGGATAGATTCATGCCCCCAGATATTTCTTATGGGGTACTGACTTCTGCAGTCACCAAGTGGTGAACATT